TTTTTTTTTTTTTTTTTTTTTTTCAGTTTGAACCTAAAGGAGTTTTGTGCCGAGAAGCAGTGAATGATTGTGATATTGCAGAGAACTGCACAGGAAATTCCAGTCAGGTGATTTTTATATCTTCTTTCCAAGAGATGAAAAAAACCATCTGTAATCTCTCAATCACTATGGATGTTACTGTTTTATATAGTAAGATGTATAAAAACTGTATTAAACCTGCTGATACTGAAAAAGCCAGCATAATACTGAAATATAAACAGCATGATACTGAAATAATTTTCCATATGACATTTGTTGTATGCTTTGCTTCCATGCTTGTCTGATCTATGATCTATTAGTTATTATTTTCTCTTTCTATAGTGTTCTCCCAATATTCATAAAATGGATGGATATTCATGCGATAACAAGCAGGTAATTGGCACATCAATTTGTTTTACGTTCTTTCTGCTTTTATAAATTGCTTTTTATAGATTTTGGTTTAGGATCTTTGGAAGTCACCTGGGACAGGTCTGCTGACATTCCTGAGTTTTGGGTGCTAGTTATATTTTGGAGCAAAGCATTTAAATGAACAGAAATTAGAATCACAATGTGACAAATCCATATAATAAACAAATACATATTTTTGAAAATTAAGTTATTTGAAACTTTTTCTATATCTTTTTTTTCTTTCTAGGGTATTTGTTTTGGAGGAAGATGTAAAACCAGGGACCGGCAATGTAAATATATCTGGGGGGAAAGTGAGTGTTACTGTTTTTAAATTGGTTTTCCTTCATGTGGCTTGAAGGATTATCTTAGCTGAGAAAAATTAGGGAAGAGACATATTCAGAACCAATAAAACCAGCTAGGATTCTGTGTTCCTCCCCTTCTTCCCTCCTCATTTTGTCTTTCCATCCTCTTTTTCACCTCTTTCTCTACTGTCAGTTAACTTACTGCTGATTATTCTGAAGTCTTAGGTTTAACTTCTCATTAATAACCACCTATGAAGCATATACTCATATTTATTGCTTTATTTCAGTGGCCTCTGGACATTTTGGACCAATATACCCTGGTCAATCTGAACAGAATTTTAAAACAGTCCTGTGGTGCCAACATAAAACTTTTGATTGAGAATACTCTGCAGAATTTCACAGGCCATCTGCAGACCATTGATACTGTGATTCAGAGATTGGGAAGCTCTGTTTGCTTTGATTGTGCATTGATGCTTGACAGGACATGGCTTTTTGTTGTCTTCATAATCTTAGAAGGGATTTGTTTCTGCTTTTAGAAGTGACAGCTGCTGACAGGTACTGCTATGAGAAGCTGAATATTGAAGGGACTGAGAAAGGAAACTGTGGAAGAGACAAGGACTCTTGGATACAGTGCAATAAACAGTAAGTTGATCCATTTAGAAAACAACTGTTATGAGATTTTTTTCCCTGATCCAGTTCTTTAGCTGGCAGGAAGAGGCTCAAAAAGTCTATGTGCAGAAGAGACTTCTCCTGGCCTTCTTCTGCAGACCTTGGTGCAGGAAATTCTGTAGGGAGAGGAGTGTTGAGAGGAGGTGGTCTCTGTCAAGAGAGCACCGTCTGAGCTTTGGGAGCACTTGGACCGAAGTGGTCCTAGTACTCGTGGTGAGGCTTAGCAGTGCAGAGAAGAGCAGCCTGTGGTTTCATGTCTTCAGTGTGGTGTTCACCTTTTTATGCTGTGCTTATGCATTGCTAAGTCGTCTTCACTTTTCATTGTATTGTAACCCTCCGCATCTTTTCCTGCAAGTTGCTGGAAGTCTCTGCATGTGAGTTGTAAAGTCCCTTCAACAGCTGAATGAAACTTGGTGTCTCTAGTTCCCTTATATATGTCATATGAGAGTTTGTTTAAAGCCAGTATCTACTGCTTCTCCCCTATGGGCTAGTTACTGTATCTTAGTAGGATAATAAATCAGTTTGATGTGGTTTGTTCTTGACAGCTCCCTGCTTGCTATTACTCAGAGCATTTTTGATAGTACATCCTAAAAAAGACTCTTTTCCCAGTCTAAGCTCTGAGGAGAATAATTTTCTTGGGAAACAAGACATTATTTATGGGAGTTACTGTCAGTGGGAGAAAAGCAAGGAATAACAAACATGTTATGTTACAAAGCAAGTGAAGAAAAACACATTTTTTTGATCATCCATTTTCACTGAATTTTGTTTTCAGTAAGTATCTCTGTATTCTCTCAATGCAGAGATGTGCTTTGTGGATACCTTCTGTGCTCCAATATATCCAGTGTGCCCAGACTTGGAGAACTTGATGGTGAAATCACATCGTCAGTCTTGCAGTTTGGAAAAGTCTACAATTGCAGGTAATTGGAAATCCTGAAAACACAACAGGGACGATCAATATCCATCTTGCATGGAAAAGCAGCTTTCTCATTCGTAAGTGGAGAACTATTTCCATTTAATTTTTTTTCCTATTAACGCATAATCATTATTCTAGCTCAACCTTTGTTAAGCTTCAGGAGGTTGACTGCATGTGGGGAGCACAGCTGTTTTGCAGTCTGCTCTGTATAGTAGTTAATTTTGCCTGTAGAGAAACAATGCTCTTCTCTGGCCTTCTGATTTTACATTCTTTAATGTTTGTGAGTACTTAATGTACTCAAAAGACTTAGACATATGCCTGCACTGCCAAAGCTAACTGGCAGCTTAATATTTTGCCATATGTTAGATGAATCCCAGTTATAGACCTGGTGTGTTCTCATAGCTTCACACAACTGTAGGATGAAACCAAGTCCTACACAAGTAAACTCAATGTTTTATCCAACACTAGCTCTTAAACAGGAAAAATGGTCTTTGTTTTCACCATTACATTTGTTTGATGTAGATATACTGTCTTTTGGTTTATTTCGTATTAGGACCAGTGAGACAAATAAGCCAATACATACTCTTTCCTGGTCCTGGGCGTCACATAACACAGAATGAAGGCAGCTGCCCAGAGCCCAGTTTCTCAAGCAGTCCCATCTAAGCACAGCACAAGTCTCTGGGGCCCTCTTGGTTGTCTTGCAGTGGTGGACATGTGAAGCTCGATGAGGAGACAGACCTGGGCTATGTGGAAAACGGGACACCGTGCGGGCCAAACATGGTGTGCCTCGAGCATCGCTGCCTCCCCACTGAGGCTTTCAACTTCAGTACCTGCCCAGGCACCACAGACAGCCAAATTTGTTCCGGACATGGTGTATGTTCTTGTACTCTTCAATCCTTTTTTGTATTTTGCTGAGTATCTGTCATTGTGTAGTGTACTAGCTAGACCTTTCAGGAAGCCAGCAGCGTGACTCTTAGAAGTCTTTGTACTGGAGAAACTTTTGAAAAGGAAAGAGGGAGGAGGCACATAAATAAACATAATGCATCCCAGTCAAGGCATCTTAAACTGTGTCACAGTAAATAAGGATGAGTTTTGCAAAAGTTTTATCTATCAATCCTTTTGCCATCACTTCTGCTGACTTTGTATTTCCTCAGGCAATGTGCTGGAGAATATAAAGGTTTAAGAACTGAGAAACTTGGTTCTTTGTTCTTCCAGATGCTCTTTTTAGTACCCTCTCTATAACGTCAACAGCCAAGAAGGTTCATAATGTTGTTGGATTTTGTTGGCTGAGAGTTACTTTGCTCCAGAGAAGAGGCCAGTGAGCCAGCTGTTGGCTAGTGGCAGCTTCTCCACTAGGTGCACAGCCTATGGCTTTGCTGTGGCCCTGGAGAGTCCCTTAGTCCCTCACACTAAAAGTGTGACACTTGAAAGTGTCCGGGTCCCTACAGCTGAGCTGAGATCAGAGGAGTTGTTCTCTCATAATATCTTTTGTCTTTTACACTGCATTAAAACTCCCTTTTTTATCTGAAATTAAGCACTTAATCATGTTTTGAAAAAGTAAAATCATTGAGGTTCAGAGTCTCCCAAAGCAATTAGAAAAGACTCTCTTAAATACAATTACATTAAAATTTATTAAGATGCTTAATACATATTACATATATTTATATATAAAATATAATAATGCATTTAATACATTTATATGTAACATATAAATTAAAAATTGATGTATATTAAAAATGTTTTGCAAAATTCTACAGGCAGTCAAAATTAGTGCTATATGACTGTCATATACAGTAGGTATTAGTTATGGGAATAGATTAATTTTATGATTTTTTTCTGAGCTACACTTTTGGCTGCAGGTTTGTAGCAATGAAATAAAGTGTGTCTGTGACCGATTCTGGGGAGGAGATGACTGCAGTTCTCGCATCAAAGATGACATATTTTTTGATAAAGATATCATCAATAAAGGTACGTTGTTATAAGTTTTACCAATAACTGGAAAAGCTTGGATTTGAGGAAGGTTCTTTAAGCAAAACTAGATCTCCTACTCTTTCAGTTAGCATACAACATGATGCACTGCTAGGAGTCTCATTCACTTCCCTTCCCTTCCTCCCACAGCAGAAGTACTCCCTGTCTGTGAATGAGGTCTCAGACTGGGGGCTGGATGTGAGCGGTGCCGCTCACAAACACTCAGTACACCTCTCGGGACTGGTGCCAGTGTGTCTGGTTGTACCTTGCTTGTCCCAGTCATGAGTGGCCTTATTAAGTACACTGATGGATTAGGACAAGCAAAACATTACTGGGACTTTACATATCTAGATGGAAAGATAATGTTGCTTACATGATTGGTTTTGATTTGTAGAGTCAATTTTTTATTACATGGCCAGTATGCAGAATGTTGACATGCAAATTACAGGCTTTTACATTTTTTGAGTTAAAGTTTTTATTCATCTTTAAGCTTGCATAGAAGAGAAAGATATATTGTGGAAAAATGAGGGTGTAAATGTTTTTCGTTATAAATCCTTGTGGGGGGACAGTTTTAGCATCTTCTAGAATGTCTCTTTTGGTTAGTTTATTCAGCTATGGAAGGGATTTGAGCAAAAGCAAACGAAAAAGTCACTTTTATTCCAATGTAAGCATGTATTTGCCAGGCAAGTTATAAGGGTGTAAGCTACAGCAGTGTAGTATTAACATCATATTGGCATACCAGGCACAACTTTCACATGTAGCAAGTGTTCAGTTGAGAAAAATGGACACAGAAGTCAAAGCTTGATTTGCAAGTGATCTTTTTATGTCCATGCTATACATTAGCATTATATCACTGGTTGCAATTAATCAGCCTAGTGCAAGTTGTCCAAGCAGGCTTTTGAAAGACAGTGCATTTACTGTATTTGTATATTTTTCTCCTAAAGCCTTATATATTTTTCTCCTTTCTTGTATTTCTAGGTGTTGTTAGCACAAATATAATAATAGGGGCTATTGCTGGCACCATTTTAGTGTTGGCTCTCGTTTTAGGAATAACTGGTTGGGGTTACAAGTAAGTAAATTGTGTTCTTCTTAATACGGTTAAAAATGTTTATTTCATCTGATACTTGATTATGTTATAAAAAGAACAAACATAATCTAAAAAATACAAATTGGATTTTATTTATAAAATGAGATTTTATAGTATTAGCATTTTTCAAGCAATTCTTGCATGTGTATGTGGTTTTGGAGAGCTTGATCCAGGTTTGAAATTTATTTCTTACTTGGTTATTTCTTTTCTTTTTTGTAGAGGATCAGATTATGATTTTACTCTATCTGACAAAGGAAATACAAGAATACAAGCTGATTCAATTGTAAATCTTTCCTAATGATGAAGTAAATTTGGCAAGATTAGCCTTCAGTCAGTAAAGCATTTAACCATAGGCTTCCTTCAACGGATGTTTGTAGTCAGTTAGCTTAACCTGATATTAATTCAGGCACATTTTTTGGTAAGAAAGAGAGAGATCTGTAATTTGCAAATAAGGTGCAAGTTTTCTCCTGGTGTAGAACTGTCAGTGTTCCACTCATTGAAAAGTAAAATGGATTATTTTAGCCTGACTGATCTTTTTCAGTTTTTCTCTTTCTGTGAACATCTTCTAAGAACAGAGGAGGGTAGTTTTTTTGCATGTATTAATAAAATATTCAAGGTACTTTGTAATCTGTGTTTGGGTGAGATTGGCTCTTGAAGTCCTTCCTCCAGGTGTCCTTGGTGTGCTTGGAGGGCAGAGCAGTGCAGCTGCAGGCAGTGCTGTAGCTGGGACATGGCCCTGGCGGTTTGGCATAACGAACTGGCACATCCCCTGCCGGTTTGTTAAACTGAGATAGGCTGAGGGCAGCTCAGAAATAACGTGATGAAAGAAGTGTTTGGAAAAAAGTGTGAAGATTAGGGTAGTAAAAAGGTAGGTTATACTGTCTTGGTATATCACCCTCAGCTTCTGGCAGTATCTGAAAATCTGGACTTCTATTTTGTGTACAGCTCCAAAAGTTAAGGTCTCATTTTGAGATCACATCTAGCCAGTGGGATTAGTTTTTGGAGGTGGAGGGCAGGAGTTGCACCTCTCACTAGCAGCTTCACAGTGAATATACTTAAACTCATTGTGAACTGCATCTCCAACTCAGCACTGACTTTAGCCATCGACATGAATGCATTTTCCTTGTTTATTCTGATTTACTATGTTTATGAGTGTGACTATTTCAGAAGTGTTTTCTGTAGAAATATTTTGAGCAAAAATTTCATTCTGCATACGTTTCTCTTACTGACCATGTATACCTGCATAATGATAACTCATTCTTTCTTTCTCTTCTCTTTGTATGGAAAGAAACTACAGAAAACAGAGGTATGTGATAAAAGTAATGGAATGTGCCTTAGAAAGCTCTGAAAACAGCTTTTCTTCTCTCTTGCTTGTTTACATACTATAAAGGAAACATAGTGACGAATTATCATATTATAAAGAATATTTGCTTGAATATATGAAATTGGTATTTATTCTGTAAATGCATTGTTTGAAATCCTGATTTCACTGGACTAAGTAGCAAAAATAATGTTTACTTCTGAGACAGACTATTTTATTTAGGAAAACAGGTGAATATTTCCAAAAAGAGAGACTGAAAATCTGCTATTAGAGATATATTTCTCAGGTTCCGCTTAAACTTGAGAAAAAACTACTTTACAGTGAGGGTGACAGAGCACTGGAACAGGCTGCCCAGGGAGGTTGTGGAGTCTCCTTCTCTGGAGACATTCAAGACCCACCTGGACGCCTTCCTGTGTAATTTCGTTTAGGTTCCTTCTCCGGCAGGGGGATTGGACTAGATGATCTTTCGAGGTCCCTTCCAATCCCTGACATTCTGTGATTCTGTGATTCTGTGATTCTGTGAAAGTGTTCTTGGGAGACTGAGAATTGAATAATTAATATTAACAGGAGCCTTTTGCGACAAATTCATTCCTGGAGTTTCTTTGCAGTTAAAAATAAATTGCAGTTAAATTGCTGTGCAAATGAAGAGCCTATTCTTTCCCACTTCCCTGCTCGATTGATTTGTAGCTAAAGTACAGTACTGTCTTCAGCATAGGGCTGTTTTCACCTGTTCAAGCTTGTGGCCAAAAACCAAACAGTTCCTCATGACTGGGATTTGGCTCCTTGGAGACCATCTCCCATTGATCTGTCATCTGTCTGACAGATGGGTCTTCTGGGAAGGAGTTGACTCCTTCCTCTCCCAGTATCCCCCAGATAAGAGGGTTTCTCAAGTTCCCCTGTTTTCTGCCTGTATCAGTGCCTCCTGGTCCAAGCTGCTGCTTTGTTTCTAGCCACTCCCGTTGTGCCTGTTTTCCATTTCCAGTACCTGTGTAGCACTTTCTCTGCCAGGCTCAAAATACTTGTAAAAATAAGGAAAGCTGTGGCGAGTGCTAGTTGCATACTGAAAGGTCAGATAAGTGGCAGGAACATTAACAGGAAAAAGGCAAAGCTATTGAAGTCAAGCCTTATGGAGAGGTTGGTGGGTAGGGAATGTCAGCTGGCATGAGGAAGGCAGAATGTCAGGGTTTGGTGCTGCTTAGTGGCACGCGATGTATTTATAAGTGCAAACTAACATGGGCATCAAGTCCCTCTACTCTGGGTGTATCAGTTTGGCTGAGGACAGAGCAGCCAAAACCTTGAAATACAGAAAGAGATAAGCCCCATGCATATTTGCATTGGAACACTAGAGAATCTAATTTTTCAAATTCCCTCATCTCCAGAAATTAGTACATGGACAGAGAGCTGTGAGGATGCAGTCGGTCTGCAGCTGTCGGTGGACATGAGCAGAATGGAAACCAGTATAAGCTAAGGCCTTTGAAGATGATGGAGGGCTCCATCATTTTAAAGATGATGGAGATATTTAACAACTAAATCTCCTTCAAACAGAAAATGCAATTCTGTAGGCTGTCTTCTATATAGAATAATTTTGGATATGTACAAGGAGTCCTCCATAAATGGAAAAAACAGACATCCATCAGAGTGTCCAGTGTGTCCTTTTTAAAAAAAATTGTTTATGATTTTCCTTTAAAGGTGAGAACAAGCCATTGAGGTATTTTTGAGTATTACATAAGGAATGATATTTGGTAGTACTAAGCAACTGAAATGAGTAAACTAAAAGTAATAAAAAGAGTGAATTAGCAGGGATTCTGTGAGCTGGGGTAGCGTGGCTTAAAGGGAACAGCTACATGAGAGAAGTTATTTCTGATGGAATACTGAGAGGCCAGTTTGCTAGAGGAAGCGTGGAGAGCAGAGCTACCCACACTGAGTCAACTCTGAACACACCGATGTACCAGCTAAGGAATAGGGCAAGAACTTGAGAGGTGCTGGAAGAAATAGTGTGGAAGCACTGTGTTACACTGGTGATTTATGTGCCATATAGTTATGTATTTTAAATACTTCAGGAGCATTAGGAATTCAGATATGGAATGAAGAGAGCCCAGTTCAGGTTTGCAGTTGGACACAATCTGAATGTGAATCAACCTTCTGATAAATGTGCATCTTAATAGAGGCAGGATGCAGCAAAAAGGCCTTGGAAAGTGCAAGGCTAAATGGATGTACTAGGGTATAGCCAACTTTCAAAGTAGCTACTTCCTGCTAGGGAGGATTTTTCAACTTGGTGGAACTGTAACTGGAATATTTGCACAGCAGTTTTTCTGCTTGCAGTGAATTCACTATCTGCAAAAAAGTTGCATAACTTGATTAGGACTTTCTAATGCATAGATTTATGCACCATAACTGAGCTTCTAGTACTAGAAAAGGATAAACTATTGTCAGATATGTGTAGCATTATTTTTGTTTGTCTTGGCAGATTGAGTCTACTGTGGTAATCAGGAGTAGCTGAGAACCTCTGACACTGGTGTTAGTTCCCCTGCACAAGAAAACAGTTAATAAACTGGAGGTTTTTCTCCCTGAGGTTTAAACAACTCAACAGGTTGCTATTCTTGAATTCAGTAATGATCACAAAAAATAAATGGAACGCATCTACTTCAGAAGGAAAAAAGGATTCACTTTTCTTGAACTCCTTTTTGATGCAAGCATGCGTTCAGCTCAGGCTGCAGTACTTGTACTGCACCTGGGGATGCTTTTCACAGCTAGCAAGATGAACCATTTGAAATGTCTGAACTTGGTTATCCAGTGTCTCAAAAACCACAAACTATTCACTTTGAAAATTGTGATCAGAGTTTATCAGTGAAATGTTCCTTGTTTTCCCTTACTAAAACCACACAATCCAATTTTCTGCACATATCAGAAGCATATGGGAGTTTTCTCTCAGATGGTTGAATTATTTATTAATAGGCTTGTTGTCTGTGGTTAACTGCTTTCCTTGAGGATCGCTATCCTTGACTCTTTCTTTTAAACTAATATTTATGCATGTTTGTTTGTGTGCTGGTGCCTGTCATATTTTCTGACTCTACAATGTTTATTATACTTTAGACAAATACCCCAGGGAGATTATGTAAAAAAACCTGGAGAGGCCGACTCTTTTTATAGCGACATGCCTCCTGGAGTCAGCACAAACTCTGCATCTAGTTCTAAGAAGAGGTCTGCTTTTCTGTCGCATTTTCAGATTTCTACCTGTTCCATCACCCATTATTCCATTAGTCAGAACATTTCATTGTTTTGCAGCAGGTTTGACTCTTTCTTCTTTCTTTGTGGAATGTTTGAAATAGCATCCTTTGTGCTTTGATTACTGATTTTACTTATATGCCCTGAGCTGCTAATTATTATAATTATTCCAAAATAAGCAAGTTTTCCATTGTAAACCAATTTTAAGTTAATCAAATTTTCATAATCTGTCTGCTTGAGAATTGTCTTCAAGTAGCTGTAATAATAATTGCTGGCTCAAAAAAACTCTACAACAAACCCCCACCATTTTTTTAGTCATGGTCATGTAATCAAAGAAAAAGAATGGTGTCTTGCATCAATAGTAGTTATAAGCATAAACTGTTCAATGTAAATGTCATTTTTATAACTTTATTTGTCAGTGTCATTAATTCACTGAGTTGACCTAGAATTCTAGATAATACTCTTACTGTCTTACATTAAAGACGATGGTGCTTGCGTTTTATTCCACTTACTAGACTAGTACAGTAAATGGTCACCAAGTGTTATCTTAGAAAATAATTCTACAAAGACTTTCTGTAGTTTTGTGCTTGCAATTATGAGTAACCAAGGAGGGCACTGGATTTTGCCCTTGATCAAATTTCACTAATTCTTTTATTGTTCCAGTTACTTTAAGAACCCAACAAAATTTTAAAATGGAAAATTCATTGAAAAGCATTGAGAGTCACTGTAATTGCTAAGGTCATTAGGTCATAATGCTCATCGTCCCTCTGCAGTTACTAATTCTTTAATTATGAAAATCTCCAGCTAGCACTTTAAAACAATTTATGAGAAGCACTGTGTCATAGGAGGTATGGACAATCCTGGACTGCTTCATAAGAAAACTGCAATTCTCAATTCTTGTCTCACTGAGCAATCTAATGAAGCCATTTTCTTTGTTGTTATTTCAAAGAAAGTAATGAGAAATGTATGGAAGGGATGCATTTGTGGTGGCATTTGCTGTTTGGGTGTAGCAGCTTGATTCTCTATGCTACTTCATTCAGCCTGTTCTGATGAATATGTTATTAAGAAAATTGTAGTAGTGTATAATTAATTAATGATTTCTAAATTTTAAATTCAGCTTGTTAGATTTGTGAGTGGATAAATTATTTGTTTTCAGGGAGCAAGCATTATTCTTAAATGATGCACTGTTTGTGTTGGAGAATCTTTTCTCATTTGGATAAAATTTTCACAAAGAACATGGGGAAGCAAGTTTTCATACCTTTATGAAAGCAGGTTCAAATATCAGTTAAGGAAAAAAAAGTTTGTTTTTAAATGAATATAATTTAATGTGTTTTTTCTTTCATTCAGTATCTGTGTTTCTTTTCATACTTCATTTCTTTCATGTGTCTCTGTTTATTATTTGTTCCAAAAAGCTAATGGCTTCTAAGGTCTGTCTGTACTAGAGAGTTTTGTTGTTCCCCACCACCAGTTCAGATATTTTGTGCTACTGTGTCTCGAAAATTAAGTCTGACAAGTACTCCATCAACATCGTGGTGGAATTGACATAGTCTTCCCATTTCAATGCCTAGAGTGCTATTTCCTACCTTTCAAGCTGGTTTTGATTTGCTTTGTGTGCAGCATGGATGACAGATATGGATGACATCTCTTGGGAGACATTAGAGTGACCTGGCTGTTAGCCACCTGGGCTTCTCCATTCTGGAAAGCGCTATGAAGTGTTAGTGTTAGGATGTTCAAGGATTAAGAGATTACTTAATGATAACTCTTGCTATTATGAAACAGCAAACACCAAAGCAGTATATAGTAAGACACTCCTGAAACTGAAAATAGACTGTTACAAGGAGGAAATTATTAAAAACTTTGTTGATGGTTCTGTTGGTTCTCAGACCCTTCGTGCTGTGAGCTTGAATTAATGAAACACTGGACTGAATTCAGTGTGGCTGAATTAGCCACTGTGATTAGCTTGGTCTTCCGAAAACTGAAGAGCATCTGTCCTCCAAGGAAAGCAGAGACTGAAGAATGCAAGAGTATTCAGACTTTAAAACTACAGAAATAAATCCTTTAAGCAAAACGTCTTTGTAATAAATAAGCCATCTATTCTGACCAGTTTTCAATTGTATTTATGATGGTTGTACATCTCATGGCAAACAGCTGAGCAGCAGCTCTAGTTCAACAGGAGGGAGCGTGTTGCAAAACCCCATGTGTTGGACCTTGCCACACGTCCCTGTTTCTTAGAGGGAATATAAGAAGAAAGAAAAACTTTCATTTGCATCAAGCACCTAGATGTAAAGGCTATTTTTGGCTTTGAGTTTGGCATTAAAATTACACACTGTAGTGACTAGCTGACAAAATAAAATAAAAATTCAAAATTAGCAAAAATGGGACAGAGTTACCACTCCACTGGAGCTACTAGCTGTGGGTGGGAGGATGTTCATCACAGACTCCTTGTTGCAGTGGGTAGGGGAAGCAGTCCTAGCTTTCCTGCAGCAGAACGAGGAGGGAGTGGGCAGCCTGCAGGTGGGATGTGAGGAAAAAGCACCTTGAGATGAGCACTGTTGGAAGAGAATCTTACAGCTAAGAACTGGGTCAGAGCTGGAAATCTGGTGTTTGCTGGTATTTGTGCTTTCCACAGTAGACACAGGAGAAAGCAGTGCTGAAGCCTGGCTTTTGAATGTGGACACACCAAACCACTGCAGAGACAGCTGGCAAAGTGTAACTGCAGGGTTTAACCAGAAATCCTGGATACTCTGCTAGTGCAGACAGACCTTAGGCTCTGTTATGTCACTGACCTTGGGAACCGCTGAGGTAACACTGATGTGATACAGTACCCTTAATGATAACTGCATCTAAGCCCTCCTATTCCAGGTCAAATGGACTATCTCATTCCTGGAGTGAAAGGATCCCAGACACAAAACATATTTCAGATATTTGTGAAAATGGGAGGCCTAGGAGTAATTCTTGGCAAGGTAAGTGTGAACCTCCGTGCTGGCCACAGTGGAAACCAGCATTTGGGCCATTGCTGCTCTGCTGAAAGTTTGTCTGATCTTAGGACAGCAGCATGACTCCTTAAAATCATGCTAATTGTTCTTAGCCTGGAATTCGGATTTAGGAGCACCCTACACAAGTACCTTTTTTGCACAATGCTTTGGCACATAGAATAACATTTAATCTTTCCCATTTCTCCAGTGTAAGCTAACATGAAAAAGAGGAAGAAGTCTATTCACTCTTGCCAGCTTCTGTGATTTTATCAGGCAGTGTTCAGTGTTTTTCTTGAAGTGTAGTGATTTTCTTAAATGAAAGCTGAAGTTAAGGAGGTTTTTGCTCTGCACAGTTTCAGCAAAAGCAGGGGAAGATCACTGAAGGGTCAAATTTACCTGGTCTGAGGTGAATCAAGAGGGACCCGTGACTTTTAAGTGGTTAAAGTTAATATGAGGTAATAAGTCTTTTGCTGGCGATGCAAAAAGAATATGCAGTTTGGCATGGGATGTGGGTGAGTTTCAGCTTGTTTTACTGTCTGTCTTTATCCTTTGGTTTCTTTCAGGTAATATAGGAGGAAACAGAAAGAAAGTCAGAGGCAAAAGATTTAGGCCACGGTCTAATTCAACCGAGTAAGTCTGAACTTAAAAAGCAAAGCCAAAAAGTACAGTTTTCATATCTGTGTTTTGGAGATGGAGATTAAGAGTACTGAAAATTAGACAGCTGCATTTTTGCTCTGTGGCCCATTCTGATTGCTGACTGATAAACTGGTAAATGGTTTGGCTAACATATTTCAATCTCTTTTTATGTATTCTTTAAAAATTAACTATCAATTTTCTTTTTTATGTAGGCTTCCTCACAGTCGTTCCCATAGTAATTCCCAATGATGGTGGCAGCCTGCACCATCACTGCAGGCTTTTGTCTACAGTAAACTGCCATTGCTGAGTGTATCCTGGTTCAATACTGAATTTCTGATAACCTATTTCCTACCCTTGTCTTCACCTTGGGTTGGGCCATTGCAGAGACTTGTATCTCTGCATACCTGCCTGGAGGTTTTAGGAGAGGTATCTACCTGCTTTGAGAGTAACCTGAAGTTTATTGTTGTAAGACTGAAACAGCTAGTTTTGAGTAGGCCCTGCAATAAATGGGTAATGAGAGTCCTTACCAAGCAACTGATCCCCAGAGCTTTCCCATATGGCTTAGAATTGCTTTCTATATTGATTTGTTGGTTACATTTACCGAAGATCCCATGTGTGCAGTGCTCCCTACAGGGAATGTGTTGAAGTCTGCTGGTTCAGACTCCTTTCATGAGTGAATGGTGAATGGCTGGAAATGTAAACTCTGGGCTTGTCAAGCACTGGCCTGCTCTTACAGCACTTACGCCACAGGAGAATGACCCCTTTTTTGGTGGCAATGACAGTGCCCTTTCCCTGTATCATTAGTACTAACTTTGCACCTGTATGTGCAAATGGGCTTGATACCAAACCTGCTGGAAACTAATAACACTAACTCCTCTCTGGGCCCTGCTTTCTTTGGTTTGGGGATTTTGAGTGTGTTCCAAAACTTTTCTTCCACCTGCAGTGCACTGTCTTGAAGGTGAGTAGGCTCAGAAAGGTTATAGAGAAGTCTCTCTGTTACAAGTTACAGAAATAACAGTTTGATGCACATTGCAATTATAACATTGCATGGTCAAAATGGCAACATGGAACCAGAAATTTTAGCCCCAGATTACTTGGAGTAGTTTATCTGTCAAGTGCCCCTGTGGTCTTGGTCTTTGTGCTAATAAACTCTTACTGGGACATTACTTTGCTCATTTTTTCTCTTTGCATGAGACAGTTTGATAAAAACAAAATTAGTCTGACCAAACTGCCAAGAATACAAATGAGATTGTACATTCTTCTTTAAAAATTTGTCCTGTGCTTTTCTTCATTTTCCAATTGTATTTCTTAAACAAAATTTGTTTAAAAAAAATTTTGAAATTAGTGATACCATTATTCTGTCATTCAGCAGAGGTGTACACTGGGGCTGAACTGGTCTATAAAGAATTAAACCAGGTCAACTCTTCTTAGCCTAGAGTGAACATAACTGCATGGGAAGAATATTGTTTGCAGTAAAAGCAAAAAAACCCAATGGGCATATTTTTCCTCTGTGCTACTCAGCTGGGTAGAGTATACATTTGCTCTGAGAACTTTGGAGCACTAAGTAAGTGGGTAGACAGAGAGAGTGTAAGTTGAAAATCTATTTCCCTGTCATTTTTTTTTCTCTTTTTAAAAAGTGCCCCTGAATTTCCCCCTAATTCTTTGCTTTCCTTCTTGCTGCTTATTGTGATCTCTCAACCCAGCAGCAGCCCTGATGCTAGAAGGAGGAAGCATGTACTTGCCAAGAGCTGTGCAGCAACCTGTTAGGGATGAATCACAGCATGTATGTTCCTGGGAGAGACCTGCCAGGCAGGAAAATGCTCTTTCTCCTGACGCAATCTGTCCTGGATTGCATGGGACCACATGGCTTGTCTGAGTCTCCTTGGCAAGCCTGTCACCCCTTGGAGGGAGAGCTCCCACTGAATGATCCACGTGCTGTGCCAGTTTGGTGAGGAATGGAGAGAGCTGCCGAGGGCACACAGTGGTTCTGGTTAGAGAGAGAACTTCCTTTGCAAGCAGAGAAAATTGACTGAGAATGATCTAACCATGGCCAGCATTTACTCATTTAGGAAAACAAAAAGGAATGCCTGCTGCTTTGAGGATGCCTCAGAATACATAGAGGCTTTTCCCAGACAAATTTACCTTCTTACCTTCTCTGGGAAATACAGAAGGATATTGAAATCTGTTCTGAAACGGTGGATGGCATTTGGAAAGTCCGCCTGTGTGGCCCCTGGGAGTCCAATGAAGCATACTTATTGAGATTTTTTTTTTAACCAGGTGCGCACTAGTATAGTTCCCTACAAAAGTGTTTGACATATGCATGAGTCTGCAGTAACTGCATATATTATGCACAAGGCTTTTTTTTTGTATACAGCCAAGCACCAGGTAGAGACTTGTGATATTAATAATTTAAACAAAATTTCTTAAGCACTGAGCAAGGTTTGAACTCTGCAGCCCTCACGAGCAGCAACAGGAGGGTTGCAAGCACCTTGGGCAGTTCCTGAAAAATGTACCACTCATGCCTTCATGCAACCCCTTGTACCTAACAGATACATGAATAAGGCTTCTGCTAAGGCTTTTGGGATGCGAACATCTTTTTGGATGTTTTTAATTGTTTCTAGATGTTTTAAAACAAATTTTCTCTTTTTTACTGAAGGCTGATGGTTAAGTTCACATGGAAGGAATGCCAACAGGCCAAATGTTTCTGCAGCTTTTTCTCAAACAAGATGATGAAATGACCTGATAGAACAAGTTTTCTATTAAAATCTGTTAGAGTTTTCCAGGAATGATAATGAGAGTTTTCTGAATAAGCTGACAGTTTAATTGGGAGCTTGTGTTAAAACAGATCCCAGGGAACGTGTTTTGCCAAATAGCATTCTGACCTGTGTTAATTTGCACTTCTTTTCCTATAAACATTTGTCTTCCTCATTGCTCTAACTGATAACATCATCTTTGGCTTAGACTTTCTATTATATATTGTCTTTTTGCAGCAGGGTAACCCATGCATCTGAGCCTGGGCTTTCTCTCGCCCACCAAATCCCGGCCCAAGGCATAAGCCCAGGGGGTTCTGACCACCCCCAAACAGGGAGTCGGGATCACAGGTCAGTCTCACCTGCCCCTGCATTCTGGGCTGCCATTTTATCCCGTGAAAAGTCCTTTCCCTCAGTATACAATAGTTTCACTGTAGCAAAACACCATGACTGCTTGGAGGTGCTCCTTGCTGATGCAGCGCTAGCTAACCTTCCTCCTCACCAGCCTGAGGAGTCTGAATACTGTTGAGCCCAGGTCTTTTGCCTTGTTGCATGTTGCGCTACAAGCCAAATCGAGCCATTGGTCTAGCTATAGGCTTACGTGTAAAGACACTTGTGTTTTAAAGTGGACTTTCTCACGCAAAGAAAATACGGATTCTGGCCATCACTAATGAACATGTGGCCAGGAAGATCAACCTGAGAGCTTTCTAATGGTACCACGTAGTGGTCCACAGTAACTTGAGTTTAACCTTTCTGTAACAGATGAATTAAGGTGGCAAACAATGGTTTGTAGTACAGCCAGACCCAGAAAACCCTGCAATATGGTTGTGCAAAAACTGCATGCTTTGATACCACCTTGTTTTCTAATACAGGAAGCCAGATTGGGAGTGTTTCATGGTTACCAAAAGACCCTTTCAAATGAAAAAAAAAGCAAGTCAAAAGTACTGCAGCAAATACAAGAATACGTGTAGTTGGACCTACAATTAAAGCTAAAGCAGAAGTTTCTCAGTTCCTGGTGATGCTGGTATCAGCCTGTTGCTTCACTTGTGGTTCATCTGTTGCTGCGCTACCACTTTTGATGTTTTCTTTCTCTAAGAGTCCAAGCTGGAAAGCATAAAGCACTCCTGATTCCTGATAAATAAGCGAGCTGAAGAAGCTACTTAGAAGCACTTGTGGCTGAGGGCGAGTACTTTCTGAGAGCTGTGGCTGTGCTTGCGTGGGGCGGGGAGAAGTTCCAGAGCAAAAAAAGGAGAAAAAGAAGTTGAAAAAGTGCTGCCGCTTTTGTCATCAACACAGTTTAAAGTATGGTGGGGGTTTAACAACATCACCTGGCCCAACCTTTACTCACCCGAGCAATCCCTTGCGAGGCTTATTCCCATGTGTGAGGTCATTGGAGTCACTCTTATAAACAAAGGTGGCAAGAACTGGCCCAGAAATATCGAAAATAGCTTAAAAAGGGTTTTTCTTTCCCTTTCTTTGTTACAATTAGTTTCTTATTTCACAGTGTGCTAGTCTCAATTATATAAAAGTAATGATCACAAGTAATGGTTAAACTGTTGCTATTATACAACAAAAACAGACTTTAAGTTGGACCAGGCAGACTCCTGTTTCTACATTGCCCTTTTTTCTTAACATGACAGAAGGGGAGGAATTTGCTAATCTTGTTATTGGGTGCTAAGAGAAACCAGTTAAAAAAAACCCAATTATTCTTCCCTACTAGTTAAACACCATCTTTATTTCATAGTTTTCATGTAACTAACATGAGTATGCAGCTCAGACTTTTTTCCTAAAAAGTGTGGTTTTGGTATCAAGATTGCTTCTGTAAAATGTGAGATAACTCTGCAGCCCACCTCCATTAAAGCTTCTTGTGGTCCTACCAGATTAAAAAATCATTGAGAAATCAGAGGCTTTTCTGCACATAAGTATAAAAATTGCTACTGTAGTGGCAAACGGTTCAAACCTTTTAACACACTGAGGCCAAAATTCATTCCTGTAGAAAGTGCCAAGCTCAGGTTTCTGTGCTCATTAAGCTGATACCTTGCATTTTATTCTAGATGGGTGCAAATGTGTGTCTTCAGCAAGCAAACTGCAGGATTGAAGCCAAAATGCCCCTTCATCCTTACTCTGAGATCATGAGAGGACCTCAAACCATAAGCTTAGTGCTGGCCCTCTGCATAGGAGTGAATTTTACCCTTAAGATGTTAAATGAATGATGTATCCCAAAGAGTTTTGAGATGAATCAAACATATGAGCCTTGTTGTATGTCAGATTTTCTCATGCAGTTGTACACATTGCCTAGTCCTCACCCAACATTCATACTGATTTATTCGCCATATTCACTTGCATTTTGGGGATGAAGACATCCTTGCTAAGCTTGTGCTGTGTGTTCTCAGATTTTCTATTCTTGTTCTTCTGCTTTCTCTGTTCCTTCCATTGCTTTCTGCAGGTATTTAAACCCATGGTTCAAAAGAGAATGTAATGTAGCTAAGTGGGTAGAAGATGTGAATAAAAACACTGAAGGACCGTACTTTAGGTATTTTGTAAATTAATTCTATATAATTTTTAAGAGCTGTTCCAGCATATACAAATATCTTGGGACTCTTACCTTGTATAAAACAATACAAGTTACTGTAGGTGCAAAGGGCCCCTCTTTTTTTTGCTGCATTTTGATGTCTGTTTTTGGCTTCATGTGCAATTTACAATTCTTTTTCTGAATGTTTTAATGAAGCCATTGAAAAGAGTGTGTGTAGTGCATGTATTCCCACCATCATCTGTAGCTTGTAGTAGCTTTCTCATCATTTTATGCCAAGTAGTGTTTTCTGGGCATGAGACATATTTATCACTAATAAAGTAGTATTAACTTAAATAGAATGTAATTTACTGAAGCAAGTGATTTCATAACACATTGACTTTACCCACTGTCTTATATAGTGCATACTAAAATATAATTTAAAAAAGGATAAAAAATAGTGGTATTTTACCCTCAACATACAATGAAATAATTAATATATTGTAATTGGAAAATTAAATATATGAGAATATACTCTGTGCTCTATTTATGAATCTGTTACAAGTGAGTGTAGGGTTCAACCAAAAATATCACTTATTTTTGAGAGGGAAAAGTGTATATTATTTGATACATTCCAAGTTAAAGAGAAGAAGCATGCGTGAGGCTGGCCTCCCTGTTGTACATGAATCAGGACACTGAATATTTTAGTAGATTCCCAAAAGACACAGTCCCACAGTTGAGACAGAAGTTTGCATCACCTGAAAAAATGAGCTAGCATAGGAGAGAATGGAAGACAATTTGATTTGATGGAGTTGTATCACAAGATGCTAATGAAACACTTCAATTTCAGTAGTAGCACTAGCAGATATCAGATAGCAGAGTGAGAATTTAGTCATTTATAAAACAAAAAGTGGCCTGAAGTCTTAAAACAGTATAAAATTATCCCTTTTTAAAACCATTTGTGTTTGCTTTCAAGAACTCTTAAATCACAGGGTAAGTTGCAGAAAGGCTTTCTAATGGACAAATAGGGCAAATGAGGTAAATTTAAGCCTGTCAGTCCCGATCTCAGTCCTGACAAAGAGTAAAAATCCCTGACACAAGGATCCAAGGCTTACGGGAGATTGCTGTGGTTGTGCCCACCGGTATCAGCCAGGTCTCTGTGTTGGTGCTTGGACACTCAGGCTGGCGGGGTGTTTTGTGACCATTGCTGGTTTTAGCATTGGGATGCAGGGTCTGGTTCTGGTGTCCGCAGTTCAACAAGCGTGTTCAAGACCTGAGAAACTTTAGAAGGAACTGCAGGGACACAAGATGTTTAGTTTAATGGAGCAGCTAAATGCTTACTTGATCATAAAATCCACAGAGCAAAATGGAGTGAATGGGGCAAAATCTTTGTGGGAAGTCCTTTAGACTAAGAGACCAAGACTGATAATGACCAAAAGTCACTGGCAAACTCACACTAGAAATGAGGTATGTCTTTATTGGCAAACCATTTCCTAAAAATACACTCTTGACCTTTGTTGTTCAGGCAAGGCCATCAGTCACCCACCGTAACCTAACCCCATAACTGTCTTTCAGGGTGTTTGTATCAGAAGGCCTGTGGTCACAATAAACAAAGACATTGATGGAATATAAAGATAGCACTAGTTTAAAATATGTTACTTTAAATGGTTTAAACAGGTTTAAATTCCTGTGTGGATACTCTTAATTTGTTTTTCGTCTTTTAATATCAGTATATCTTGATTTAGTAGGTAGATTAAATTGATGGAAGTGTACCTCACCCCAGAGGGTTTTGAACTATTGCACTGAATGAGTCACATTTCTAATTGTATTTGAGATAAACCAAGCTTTTTTGCATGTAGATGAGGATTAAGATGACCCATGTGAGTTTTAAGGGCTGTGTATCAGCAGAGATTAAACATAAATTAAAAATTTTACACCATAGAAGATTACTAATCACTGCCTGCAGCAGTTGCTTTCGAAATGAGAGAGAAACTAGCATAAATTTAGAAACTTGTATGTCCTAATTAATTGAGGTAACCATGGGGAAGTATTCTGCAGGCACATTATGGAAGGCAAAGGATCAAATATTCTCCCAGGATGAGTTGCCATGGGCTTATGAGAGGTTGAACTGAACAGATTCTCCCCAAAACTCAGGTGCAATTTTGGTTAATCTGTCATGAACAGGAAAACATTGTTCCTAAGAATGATGTATCTGAACATCATATGACTGGGTATTGAGCCTGTGAAGTGATTCACAAACAAAGCAAAACAAATTTTGTTTGATAAACCAGAAAGTCAGGCTGAAGTCAGACTGTCCAGCTAATACTACATTTTAGGAATCATAGCCCAGGATAAGACATTTACACAAGATAATTAGCTGAGTAGTAATTTTGTTGCTGATCATCTTTGATTTCTCTTTTCTTTTAAAGATGTCCTAAATGTAACACTGTTGTTTTGCTTGTCTCCCTATGGTTTTAGGAATAATGTGTTGATGACTGGTGCTGTTGCAGGTAGAGTTGAATGAGAATCAGGAAAAAGACAAAACTACTTCCTACTATTCCTAGAAAGGATGCAGATTTTCAGAAAAATAGAGATGTTAGTTATCACAAAGACTTTTCTCCAGCTTAAAAAAACCCCTGTATAAATCTGAATTAGTCTCTCTGACACCTAGTGTCCTAGTTATTATTTTTTTTTTCTAAGTCTACAAAATAGGTATTTCTCTATAATTACTTTTTATTAGTGATAATAGTAGCAACTGGTGTCTCTGGTGCCAGAAAGCTCCCAGCTTTGGGATTCCTTTCTGTTAAAAAATAAGATCTGTAAAGAAAAATCTCATTTTCCTGCTCAAAGTCTAGGGTAGATTTTAATTTTACATGCTGGACCATAGCTGCCTAACCCCAGCAATAATCCCAGGCAGGAAACCTTTCCCTGATTTTGGCTTTGCTGCAAGGCTTACTGTTTTACCAGTGTGATACTACTGCTTATTTTTGTTACTGCCAATTACAGTGGCTACTGCACAGATTGACTTTATGAAATATGGTTAAGGATTATTCAAAATTCTCACTGAATCTTGAAAGACTCAGGAACCATGATAGTATCAGGAAATAAACTGTCAGAATCCCCAAATGTGGCATTTCTGTAGATAATTATAGTGCACCTTCTGAAGCACTGAGTTGCCTACATTTGATTTAATGGAATTATTTACTGTAACTTAGATTCTATGGGAGTTGTTTAAGTGTAAAAATAGTTTCTGAAGAAAACAGGTGTTTTTAGATAGAGACTCAAGGCACATACTCCAAAGGAAAATGGTGATCCCTATCAGAAGGGGACTGGCAAGGGGCATGGAAGGCAGGAGACAAGAGGCTACTATTTCCCTCCTGTTTTTAATGTGCTTTAGTGTTCTTGCTGTCTTCCTCGATTTCTTCTCAGCTGATCATTAGCTAGAGTTGGCTCTGTTGCTCTGCCAGGTCCGTTGCCTTCCACTGTGAGCATCCAGCTGAGGCCAGAGCCATGACCAGACATTAGCTCCCTGCTCTCACTGGGGCAGCTTTAGACTGTGCTTAAAGGAAAAAAAAAAAAAAGTTGTCCTCATTACAACCAAAGTGAAATATTGGCCTTGTTGTCAGACAATGAAGAAAAATACCTATTGCTGTCATTTGGATCAGGGTTTCATTTCAAGAGTTAGGGAGAAGAGTTCATTAAAGCATGTGAGTGCCTGCTTCTGGGGCATTGCTGTGCAGTGCTTAAAGGGGACTGCTCAAGCCACAACCTTTGCCTCTTCTGCAGCCCCCCACAAGCCAAGCCTCCCCTCTGCTGCTGTGCTTTCTGAGGAAACTTGCACACATCTGTGGTTTTTAAAAGGAACTGCATTTAAAATGATAAAATTAAAAAAGCCATATCAGTGTTTTTAGAAGATCCTAGCTTCGTAATGTAGGATAATGTAGGCTGATGTCCTACAAAGAGCTGAACCCATGGCAGCAAAGGTCAGGTTTGCCTGATAGTATCTACATTTGGGCTTGAAATGTTTTCACCAGGTTGAATGTTAAGTGAATTTCATTAAATTATTTCAGTCTGTGAAACAGAATCAAGCACAACTTATGAACAGTTCAGATCGGTCAGGATCACCTGCCTTGAGTTCAGCTAAAATGACACTCAAAGTCACAAGACGTTTAGTTGTGTGACCAGGTGACACATTTTACGGTGTCTCTTGTGAGCTGGCACTCTCGCCATTGAGGTGACAAGAAGGCAGGGCAGGCAGGTGCCTGGCTGCAGGAGAGTGTGTGCAGATGTCATCCTGCTGACACAGTGTTTTGCTGTGAATCACAGCATGGTCTCCCCGCACTCCTAGTTTCAGCTTCCAGGACAGAAAGACAGACGCAAAGTGGCCACTACATCTTGCTTTCTGGTCAGAAATTAAAACTCTTGCAGCGTGTTGAGGTGCATGGCTTCATTTGGAGTTGGCAGTAAAACCTCTGAATCTCTGTCATGGCGTGTGCAGGGCAGAATGCAGTCCTGTTTTTTTGTATAAATCTCAGCTTTAAGCAACATTTGGCGTGAAAGCTAATGGATTTGGTGACAGGAGAACTAAAACCCCAGTGAAAGCTAAATGGATCCCACCCTTGACCAAGTTTTGCCTACCTTTAGCCCCAGCATTACCTGCAAGTGTCCCTGAATGCTCTCTTTCTTTCATCCTGTAAATGAGAAAGGTTGTGTCTGGCTCTTTCTCATTTAAAGTATATGTAAATCTGGGATACACAGCACATACACAATTGCAGGGCATAACCTGAAAGGTGATCAAAACCACCGCAAACAACTACACTTACGACGCAGGATGCATCCTCTGTGAGCATATGCTTAGTAGTGATATGTTTTCACAGTCTCAGTAGATGGCACTAAAGATGACAAAAACCAGCACGGAGCTGTGTAGCAGAAATAAGGGGTGAGGCCCTGTGAGGGGAGGGCAAGGTCATTTCGGTAAGTGTGCAACTGCATTCTCGGTGTATTCATCTGTAGCTTTGCTCGTGCACGTGAGCAGCAGTGTGCACGTCAGTTAGGCGTGCGAGCCATAGTTGAGCAGGCAACAGAAAGTGGGGTTGAGAAGAAGAAAATGTAAGCAGCTACACTGGAGGTCTGGGCTTCAAAAGTTTTTGAAAAGGCAGCATTGTGTTTGAGTTAGGATGCAAAGCTGCCTGGCTAAAGGTTTAGTTAGGGATCCTGGTTAGAGGACCTACTGTGCAGAGAAAATGTTCAAGATGCCCCATCCTTGGGTTTTATTGCTCTTTCCAGGATTGCCTGCTCAGGCTGATGAACAGGTAGATTGTCCATAACCTTCCCTCTCACCATGGCCACCTCTTGCGGTGTGTAAAATAAGCCTGTGGTGTGCAGAAGGCGATGTTGTGCCTGATTTGGCAAGGAGATGCCTTCATTCTACGTGCTACCTCCTGGCTGTGGTGCCTAGATAAACAGCTTTCTGATAGGGCTTGCCGAGTCACATCTAACACCCCCAGTTTCATGCTTTTAATCTCCAGGTGCATTGTTATAAATTTAAACTTGAAGATTTTAAATTCTGCAGCTGTGGAGCAAAATTTGTAAATTGCTAATAATATGTAAAATCTACTTTCCTTATCTTCCCTCCTTCTTCCTCTTATTTTTTTCATTCTGTATCCACTGAAAGTTTATTAGTGATCCTTATCAGTCCATGTGTGAGCAGAGATGAGAGGACTTGTATGGGTAGTGAGCAGCAAGACACTGTTGAGAACCTTTCCCTGGATTTTTTTTTTTTTTTTTAAATAAGCTCTTTTCTTGGCATATGCAGTTTGGTGCCCAGATCTGTGTTGCTGGACATATGAAAACTTTATACTGCAGTAGCTGCTTGAAATTTTCTTCCTGAAAACATTCATGTATGTCCAGTTCAACTTAATGGGTGATCAAAGTGCACATGCTGCAGATGTACTCTTCCATGTTTGGATAATTGTACCAACCTAAATCTTTTAAGTACTGTTGAACTTAGAGGCTACTGCATGAGGCATTAGAGCATCATGAGCCAGGCTGGAGAGCTCTCACCATATAGTATCCATGGACACGTTGTTGCTCGTGGCTACCATCAATCATTGTATGGGAGATGAGAGAGTGTGCTGTTGTAGGGAGCTACAGACACAGCAAAATGATACACTACACCAAAATAAAAGAATAATTATTTGAATGTAAATGAATTTCACTTAGTAATAGAGATACAAAACAATTCCAGACACGAGAGAGTCCCTGCCATGTCTGTAATCCTCTGTAGGTGAAAGGACCTAATCCTTTAAATCGTAGAGCCAGGGATGTGGGGTTGTCTGCCAGGGGTGGCTCCCATGGCTCCTTGGTATTGGCGATGTTGACAATGGTGCTCATCACTGGGGTCTACAGCTGCACAACAGGCAGCCCCCTGCTGCATTTGAGGGGCTTCAAAGACCTGCCTGTAGGAACCAAGGGAAAGCTTCCATCTTCAGGGACACATGAAATTCAGAAGATATTAGGTAGCAGTGCTCAGGGAGGGTCTGGGTCAAGTGCCTGAGCTAGTTGGGGGGTCTCCTAAAAAATGCCCTCAGTCTGCAAAACAGAACCAGAAGGCCAGGGTAGTTCAGTTTTTCTAGTTTGAGGCTTTTTTTTTTCCTTTTTATCCTGCCCAGATTTAGAGCCTGATAGGAACCTCTCAAGTGGGAAAAGTACAGAATCTCAAAACAGAAGCATAAGAGTTTTTCTTGGGTATAAAATTTCGGTCAATAATGTGCTGCTGCCTTATTGACATGAAAAGAATGCCTTTCATGTGATACAAACATTTACTTGCTCCTGCTTACTCTACTCACCTTGTACAGAAATGCTGATTGCCATTGACTAATCAGTCCATTTTTGTATATTCTCATCAGACTCTTTCTTTGGCTGGAACAATATGCACTGTATGATGCTTGCATGTCTAATAATTTGTTATTAGCACTTTGTATATGCCTTTGTTACTTCACAACTAACAGTTTGGCCTTCAAGTGCATGCATTTATGTAAATTAATGTGTTACAAAATAATAGATTTATTTGCTATGTTTGTATCAATATAGGAAATGTGTAAGATATGCATAAAGACACTCATAATTGCCATTTAGTCACTGGTAGAAGACATTGTTCAGCTTCTACTTCTACAATCACTGTTTCTCTTTAGGCTTCATAATGCCATGTCTATCTTTTAGTTCTGTGTTTATTCAAATACAGATTTGGTTTGTTAGTTTTATAATGATTAATTACAGTACCATATAAAACAGTTTAAGAAATAGTTTTTGTTATACAATACAATTCTAATAAGAAGTAGGAAATTTTATTTTTTTCTTCCAGTGTTCCTGAAAGTTATAAATACTTTTATTCATATAATGAAATTATTAGACTACTGGTCAAACAACTTTATCCCCCTACTATTGAGCTAATAATAAGCTATGTACTTGGTTCTGAACCAAGCTTCAGAGTAATGGCAGTTGCTGTTGCAGTGCTAGGACCTGAAGACATCACATTTATTTTGTGTGTTTCAACATCTCAGGACGCTGTCTCCTGCAAAGTCTCCATCTTCATCCACTGGATCTATTGCTTCCAGCAGAAAATACCCTTACCCAATGCCACCACTTCCTGATGAGGAGAAAAAAGCCAACAGGCAAAGTGCCAGGGTACGTGGTCCTTCTTCTCTGTGCATTTCGTCAGTGACTTGATTTACTGGTAGTTTTTCAAAAGGAAAGCGTGGCAGATCAGCATCTCTGACTAACAGTGAGAGCAGCAGTGGCATTTCCTTCGTACCCTTAACTCCAGAAGCTGCTGAAGGCTGAGCTTCTGGCAGTGCTTAGGGCAGCCTGGGTGTCTGTGTTTACAGATATCTGTTCAGGTTGCTCTTAAACCTGTCCTGAAGCCCAGATTTCACCAGTTTTCTAATTTCAAGAAGGGCTGGAGCACCTCTGCTATGAGGACAGGCTGAGAGAGTTGGGGCTGTTCAGCCTCGAGAAGAGAAGGCTCCGGGGAGATCTTATAGCGGCCGTTCAATACCTGAAGGGGCCTACAGGAAATCTGGGGAGGGACTTTTTTCAAGGGCGCAAGTAGTGAGAGAACAAGGGGAAATGGCTTTAAACTGGAAGAGAGTAGATTTAGATTAGATATTAGGAAGAAATTCTTTCCTGTGAGGGTGGTGAGACACTGTGGATGCCCCCTCCCTGGAAGTGTTTAAGGCCAGGTTGGATGAGGCTTTGAGCAACGTGGTCTAGTGGAAGGTGTCCCTGCTGATGGCAGGGGGGTTGGAACTAGATAATCTTTAAGGTCCCTTCCAACCCAGACCATTCTATGATTCAAGCTGAGAGTGTGTCTTTGAGCTGCGGAGGACAAGCAACCCTGGAGCAGGCAGCACATCTGCCTCTCCTCCCTTACCCCTTCCGGGGGGCCGACACTGCCAGCAACTCTGGTTTGGGCTGGGGGATAGCTGCTCTCCAGCTTTATGGAAAGGTAACTAAGTTCCAGTTAAGGAGGATGTGGAGGGCTTGCATCAAGCCCTTGCACACCTGGAGGGACTTCGCTGCTGCATTCCCTGAGCCCACCCTGAGGGGCCAGAGTGGGCAGGAGTTGCTGGAACATGCCATAGATGGTGATGCTGCTCTGCAGGGAGACATTTCCAGCTTCTGCGGGAAGGCAACACTAGCCATTGCTTCTTTTGTGTCAATTCAGAAATAGCAGATATTTGAATAAGAAAAAATCCTGGAAATTTACTTCAGGAACTTTACTTGTGATAACTTTGGTTCATGTTCCTCATGCAGACGAGATTCCCGTCATTGCTCTCTGTCCTTTTGCGTCAAGAAAAAAGGAGTGGAGCACTGCTGAGGGGACATGCAAGCTGCCACCCCTAGTCCTGCTTGGGGCAGAAAGTGGTGTGAGGTGCAGCACAGGGTGTCCCAGCGTGCCTTGGAGATAAGGCTGCACTGATGTACGTCAGCCCTGGAGCTTCCTTGGCCCCAGCTCAAACCCACTGCAGAAATTCATGCTGCTCTGAGCAGAGTTAGGCAGAAGAGTATGGGAAATTATCTCTATACTAATACTAGTTAGTGTAACTGTAAGGTAAAAGCTGTCTAGTACAAATTTGATGCTACACTGACATTTTTCCTTCAAATTCTCTGCACTCCCACTCCTAGCCATGGACATTTACTATGCCGACTGCAAGTTGTGCTGAAATGCTCAAGACTGTCTGCTGACTTTATGGTCTGAGCAGATACTGACCAGAGGCTGGGAGGACACCAAGAGCGTAGCTTTGGTGACCCAAGTGATGTAGATGCAGTTCCTCAAAAAAGCTCCTCACACAGTTTGAGTAACAGCCTGTTTTATCTTGGTGTTCAGTGTCTGTTTGTGTTCCTTTTCCTCCTCTCCAGCTATGGGAGACATCCATTTAGCTGCACTGTTTTCCTGGCTGACATCAGAACTGTTTACTTCGAATTTTATAGGAACTCAGCATCACTGAGTCATTGCACATTCATCTGCTCTTCAGACAATTCAAAAGATCAACAAAGATGCCTGTGATCACAGAGAGAAACTCCTCTCATCTGGAAGGAAAAAAAAAAAGCAGTCTTTTTCTTTCTTTCTTTTTTGTTGACTAGTATTCTATGGATTTGATGAACGACCAAATCATAACCATTAAGAGGGGATAATTAGCCCAGATGTAACAAGGCTATTCCGCATGATGACAGATACGCATACCTAGAATCCCAACTGCAGTCCGTTTGCCAGTCCCGTGTAACAGAGGTTTTTCTTTGGTTAAATACGGTTCCGAGTCAAACCAGAGTGGAACTGGGACTGCAGCTCCTGGAGAGCCCAGCCAATGTAAACTTGTATGCTGAATGCATGAACCTTGTGTTCTTTACTTTCCACGTGTAAGGGATAAACAACATACTCTAGTAGAAGTTAGCATGCAGGAGTAAGAAATATAGGATTTTTTTGTGACAGGATTTCAAGCTTTGGAAGGCAACTATTTGACACAAACGTCAAACAAACCAGGATTATATCTTTTTTTTTTTTTAACCTTACATGTTTATAATCTCAGTATACAGATTGTATATATGTAAACATTTGATAATGTCAAAAATAGCTGTTATACATAAGTGTATTTTGCCAAATGCCTGAAGAAACTATCATGACTAACATCATCACACTTCAAATTTTCTAATACTACAAGCAGACAACTTTGGAAATACAGAAAGTACAGTACTGTAAAACTGTGTCTCTGAGAAACTGGTGTTTGACCAAAATCTATACTATCTTTTCAGTATCTTATACTGTCTTGACAATCTCAATTGTATGGTAGACTGCAGAAACCAGTACAGCAGCACTTTGTCTTAAATCATCATAAGAGGGACCATCCGAAATCCGTTGTTCCGTGAGATGACCAGGGTATCCTCTCACAGGTGTAATCAAGAATGATTCAGCAGATGACAGAGACAGTCTTTAAGTAATGTGCAATCCAAGCTCACTGGACATTTGGGAATACTTCTAAGTAGTCACTTCAGGATGTGGTGATGTGAACTCCTTCTGGTGAGAGGTGCTGTGTATTTTTGATAGAGCATTTCAGACACTGTTTTAGATGGTAAGGTATAGCTTATGAGAAGCATAATGGTTTCCCTGCCCTAGATAGTAACATTGCTGGGCAAATGGCAAATTTCATTGCTGTTTTAAATTTTTTATTTGTTACTGGAATTGCATTTATCATGTGCTTGAATGCTATGCTTGCTGCCCCTGGAGCCCACTTGACAATTTGGGGGGCCCTTAAACTAAGTACAAGGGGGTTTAGCTTAAAAAATTTGGAGGGGACGGAACATGACAAACGAACACTTTACCATGATGTTAATCTTGTGTATCAGTGGATGGTTAGATTTCTAACACCTGAGACTTCTAAAGGTTGTTGTAAAAAAGTCTCTTGGTTGGAAATTTTCAGTCAGCAAGAAACTGGACCATGTTAAATCAGTTCAGAATTCTCCAGCTTTCCAAAATTGACTAATTCTTAGCTTCGGGTAGTACCATTGCAGAATAAAACACCCGATTCTGTATGGTGCAGTTGAATACCTTGCCCAACAGCCATATGATCAATTAGATATTATTGTGATGGGAACATCTATGGTGTTTCTGAATCTTCTACCTCTTTCATATATATTTCCTTTAATAAGTGAACCCAACACTCGCAGCCTTTTAATATATTTTTTTAACTTCTAAGTATCTCGATAAAGTCAAATATATGTAAGATTAAATTAAGAAATGTTTAAAGATGTCAGCAACTGTAAAGTATATAAGATTTTTAGAAGCACTATATTTTAGGATTAGGCTGTGTGTTGGATTATGACAAAATATTGGCCTTGGAGTTCAAATGATTTCCCTTCACAGTCAACAGGTTCTGGTAAGTATTTTGGAGAAAGACAAATATGGGTGAGTGCAAGTGGACGCAGACAGACCATCTGAAGGAAGCAGTCACTTGCAATTGCTTTAGGAAAAGATTCTGCACTTTCATCAAGAGTAAATATCTGTCAGCACTGAAGAATATTTTTTGTGAAGATTTACTTTTGAGTGTAGGTGACTGGATTAAAGATAGTTGGTAGTGTATAGCTCATGAAATTAGAGCCTGAACCATAATCACTTGAAATCAGTATGTTTTTTATTGATTTCACTGGACTTTGAGCAGGACCCTCAAGGAGTTCACCCACATTAGGACATTATGCTACATTGCCTGGAAGCTGTTTTTCCCTCCCATATTGGTATATTGTCTTTCGTAACTGGACTGTTCATCATGTGCCTTTTATGGTAATTTGTTTGGATACAAACTAGCATGTAATTTTGAATAATTGTGTTAGATTTCTGTGCATATTTTATGTTTACTGCTGTTTACTCTTCCCTTTCCATTTTGCCTTATCAAGAAGCAGCAAGATTTGGCTGGATATAACATACTGACTCTTTGTGTAATGTTCATAGCTCTTGTTTTGCAAAGAAATGGCTCTCCTGACTGTATTTTCAATGTAGTATGTGCTTTCAGCTTCACTCCTGTTTCGGTATAATTCATTTGTAGCGTATGGTGATACAGTTATGTGTGTAGTCTAACTTTAGCAGTCACTTTCACGTTTGGAGATATGTAGTGACTGGAAGTCTAGTTATGAGCACTAAGTTTAAGTTAAATAAATATTTACTTTCACTTTGATTGTCTAGAGTGAGAACATCACAGGACTTGGGTTTTTACGAAATTCTGCAGAGAATTTTGCATCAGGTTGGTAACTTGGAGACCTTGTCATTGCACAAAACCTGAACTGGTAAGGTTGTGCGAGCCTCCAAAGCCAGTGAAGGTCAAAGAGAGTTGTTTACTTACATTCTAAGGGTTCCTACTCCTAAAATGTAGTGTGTTCGAAAGCTGCCAGATTAATAATCTTGAAGATTGCATGTATTTTTATCCACAGTAGTTAGTTACACTGGCAATAGCAATATAAATTGCTGCATAATACCTCATCCAGTCTAAAATAGAGTTTGGACTCATTGAGACTCATGGTTTTTTTGTTTTTATTTTAATAAATGAACTAGTTACTGCCAACTATGCTGTAGATGCCTGTTGAAGTGGGGAGGTTATCAGTTCTTCTCTATACATTACAAGTAATTGTCCATATGAGCATAGGACCTACAGGATAAGGGTTATGTATTTCAGCATGTGGGAGAAGAATCTTGTATAATTAAAAATAAAATTAATATGACTAACTGATAGAGACTGGAAAATAGAGATTGTATCCAAATAATACTGCTGAACAGTGATTCCACAGTTTTAACAAGCAAAAATTTACCTGCTGATTCTAAATTTGTTGACATAACTTCAGTAAACCATATTACAAACTTTTGGTGAACATACTCAGGCAGTTTACCAGAAACGGTTATGATTGATTGATAATTTACATTTAATTCTGTTATATTTAAATAATTAGTTTTATAAAGGTTATTTTATACAGCCTGTCTCTACATAAGTTGTGAACTTAAGTCACTACTTGCCAGTTATCTGATTTGAAGTATGACTTGACTTCGAAGATCGCTACTGCCAAATGACTTAAGAGTTTTATTCCTGATTTATGAGCTGTTGAACCTGCTAAGCTGGTGTACTCGTTAGATAATTTTGATTGCTAATGAACAAATGGACCTTTGGGTTATAGCCTGAATTAAAATCAGAAAGAAATTATCAATAGCTGGTGTACTTAAGTCCTCTTACCTGAATCCCTGTTGCTGGTTTTAAATGAACTGAGTGGTCTTTGTCAACACCAACATGACAATTTTCAAAACCAGAGCTAAGAATAGGTACATACACTATTACAGGCATGCATATACTTCAAATTCTGACCAAATTTGCAGTTATTTTATTGCTTAATAGGATAGGAGAGAATGTAACATGAAACATTGATGAGACTCCATAATCCTATGGGATAACAGGTTGGCTCTTAGGACTTGCTCTGTCATCAAATCCCATACCTAGCCGTTTTAAGCAAATTTACCAAACTCCAGTGTAAAACCCAGCAAGCTCCTGTTCTCTTCCACCCCTTCCACTTCTACTGAAAAGCATTTCCATGAATGATAATTACATCCACTAACAGCCTCTTGTGTTGGTTGGCTAAAATCGCAAAGCTGCTAAGTTAGTCACTTTTCCCCCCAACGGCTTTTCCAGTGCTGTTAATACATCTTTTACTTTTGCTACAGTGTAGGTACTGGAGCCTCATGTCTCGTGCAATTTGCACTGGTAAAACCATTTAGTGGCTCAGTCATCCTGTGTCCTTCTCACCCTTGAGCACTGCTGAAGGCTAAGCATCTTTAATCACCGAGTCTGAACCTAAAAGTTGTGCTGTGTCCTATTTCTCTTGCTCCAAGTCTGAAGATCATCCATAATTTCTCTAAATTATTTGTATGTCTGTTACCAACCACAGAGCGAAGTTATTTACCTAATTTTTAAATAGCTTGAGCATTCTGGTCTCCTCTGAAACCAGTTTTTGCCCAGAATGGATTATATATCAGACTACTGAGCTGATAACTCACTATTTGCATGGCTGCCAAACCATATGACATTTATCAGCAATATGGGATTTGACTTTGATCAGATTTCCTGAAGACAAGTATGAATAAAATGCACAAAGGTATAGCTTGTCTTCACATGACTATGCATGTAACTATGAGGCTAACAGGGCAGGGAAAAAAGGAAACTGTGAAACTGATTGTGTAGACACAGTTGCAATACAGTAGGACTGTTAAGTGTGAATACACCAGAAACAGGAAATGAAATAATAACTCCTGTCATCTACACTAAAAACTCCTTTGACCAGAGTATTTTCTAGGTCTGCTTATGAAAACCATTTCTGGTGCCTCAAGTATGGATGCTGATGTAAACTAAAGCTTTGGAAACAGTAGCTCATACACCCAGGACGTGGTATCTTGGCATTCCACAAGTTTTCTGCAACTATTTAGAAAAGCACTCCAACAGTCAATATTGATATGTTATCTCAGTCAAGTAACAAAAACAAGCAGTAAAAATAAGTTGAGAACACAGAAATGTGGCTGTTTGCTCACACTTGAGACACTTTGTACCTGACTTCAAAATCAGCTCATTTAGGCAGGTCTGGTGGTTTTACTTCTCTAAAATCCAATCTACACCAGTTTCAAAATCACTTTAGCTAAGCTGATTTTAAACTGTTTAAAACTTCTGCTATGTAGAAAGGGCTTAATTGCAATATAACTCAGCATGAGATAGAGAAGGAACATTGGGGAAAGTAAGCGCAGAGCAGTGAAAAAGAAACACATTCTCTAAGGGAGAAGTACAGGTGTCTTACACTGTATTTAGTTACTGGACCATAAAACGTCAAAGCAACAAGATAATTTTTTTTTGTTGTTTGTTTCTGTATTCCTCTGAATAAAAAAAATAAAGTTTTGGTTAAAAAAAATATTAACATGAGGCCTTAAGACCTTATATATTCTAACTTTAGCATGGAGAGTCTATTTTTACAACCACATTAGAAATTCTGTATATAGGCCTGACTGACCTTGTAAGTATAGTGGTGCTAGCAGCTAATCATGCAATATTGTAAGGCTCAGTATAACAGTAAATGCTGATTTATTTTGATTAAGGACTCCTGCTCACTGCCTGTGTAGAGACGCTGCATATTTTATGCTTCGAAATACCATCCAGAACATATTAAAACTGTGACTATATAACCTGATTTTTCTTTTCTTAAGGGTAAAGATATATTACAATAGGTAGTGTTTTATATAGAATACAGTACTTATTTTTATTGTTGCAAAAATGCGAAGTATTTTTTTCAGAATAGCAAAACCATTACAGAATTTTTAATCTGATGGAGAAAACACTATTTACAGTATGACCCGCTCTTTCAGCAAAGCTTTTGGGGTAGTATATACCAATTGGCTCTACCAGCTTCATTTTGTGCTAATGTTTATCTTCAGCATTGCTGTTAAAAGAAAAGCTATCTATTTTTTCACTCATACCAGCCCTTGTTGGTAAAACATTTAGAGAGGCAAGGAGAACTGTGTTTCACCACTGGGCCTGGGCTAGTATTGGCAAAACCAACCAATCTACATCATATTGTCTTTGCTAGTAAAAATCCTTTAGAAATCATACCTGTTGTAGTATAAAGGTAAGATTTTGACAAACACCAAAATGAAGCATTGCAATTTACAACTTTATAGCTTTGAGTGTGATTATTTTTGTCATAAACATTACAGGCATTGGGCTGTTGAAGTGAATGAATCTGACTTTCATGTAGCTAAACAAAATGCTTTTTATAAAATCAAATCATTGTAATTTGGGGTTCTAAATTCCTGCTCACTTTTAGTAACAGCATCACAGTATCCACTTCTATGAGAGTATTTAATACAAATGCCTGTTGTTTTCAATGTTACTAACATATTGTAACATCAGTAAAGTGACTTTCAATGACAAAGACTGTTGTGTCTATTTTGTTCTCTTTAGTCCTTATTATTTAGTACTTCCTGTTTCTCTCAAAAAAAGATGCTGCTTGCAAGGGAAAAAAAGGCTAATGGCTAATAATAATAGAATACAGATGTTATTTTTGAAATTCCAGTGTTGAAAATGATCATGTGAAGCTTACCAGTCTTTGTCTTAGGGTCCTATTGTTCTCAAGGCAAATGTAAAATTATTGTTCGTTAGGTTTGCACATCTGGGGCCAACCAAGAAAAAATACCTGAACTGTGTCCAATTGTTTGCACAAAGGTCAAGAGGGATAGTATCATACAAGCATCCTTCCCAGTATGCCTTTAGGGA